TGCGTAAGAATGGTTCTGAGAATCTGCAGGCTTCCTTATCCTCTATTCTTCATGGTGTTGTTGTTAAGAGATCATCCAAATATCTGGGGTTACCTTTGGGGATAGGAGCTTCCAAAATTGATACATTCTAGTATGTGGTGAATGCTGTGAGGGAGAAGATTTGTAGCTGGAAAAATACCTTCTTATCACTGCAGGTAAGGAAATATTGGTGAAGTCTGTGTTTTGTGCTCTGCCTGTGTTTGTGATGCCTTGCTTTATTCTTCCTGTTAAACTGTGTAAGGAAAACTGCAGAATTGTTTCCAACTTTTGGTGGAATAAAGGAGATGCACAGAAGATGAGCATGCACTGGCTTTCATGTGATAAGTTGACTGCACCTAAAGATGATGGGGGTTTGGGGTTTCTGGACCTGCAACTCTTTAACAAGGAATTAATCATCAAGCAGCTGTGGAGGCTTATTGAGCAGCCTGACACTCTTATGTGCAGAGTTCTCAGAAGGAAATATTTTAAAAACAGCTCTATATTTGATTGGAAAAACTCTGGGGGTGCATCTTGGCTTTGGAATTCTTGGGCTTCTCTCTTGCCTGAGCTGCAGAAACAGGTGAGTATTGTTATTAGAAATGGGCAGACCACTCGAATTAATGAGACAAATTGGGTCCCTGGGTTGTCTTGCAGAAAGCCTAATCTGAGAGTGGCTGTGGATAGTAACCTGTTCTGGGTTAAAGATCTGCTTATAGCTGATGGAATTCAGTGGGATGAGAATCTTATTAGAGTATTGTTTGCAGAGGATGATGCAGAGAAGATCTTATTGATCAAATCCTTTAACCCCAGTAGTTCTGACCAATGGCAGTGCTCTTATGTGTTGAAAGGAAATTTCTCTGTTAAGAGAGCTTACTGTAAGCTATTGTCTGCTAAAATGGGGCTGAGACCAATTGCTGAATCTAGTGACTTAGCAGGCAGAAACAGGAAAACTAGGAGAAGATTTTGAAGCCTTCAGGTTATGGGAAAGGTGAAATTGTTTATATGGCAGTGCTTTTCAAACATTCTCCATGTTGGCTGTAATCTGCAGGCTAGGGGGATGGACATTGAGACCATTTGCAGAGTCTGTGGGGAGGAGGAAGAATCTCAGGAACATTGCTTGTTCTTGTGCAGAAAGGCTAGAAATGTTTGGAAGTTATCTCCAGTTCACTGGAATAGAGTTCAGGAGGAGAAGCTATCTCTAAAACAACGGTGGTGGTGGGTGAGTGGCATGGCTACTGAGGACTGTGCTGAGGAAAGAATCCACCTCTCCACATACATTTTATGGTGGCTGTGGAGAGCTAAAAATCTGTGGGTATTCGAGGGCAAATGGCTAGAGGAAAGCTGGATTATTCAAGCAGCCTTGGCAGACTGGCTGGCCTTCAAGAAGAGCAACTCTGTTGTCCTATAGAGGAGCATATGAGATAAGTTAGGTCTTATGTGTAAGTTATTTATCTTGTATGTCTCCAGTTGTATTTGTGCTCCTTGTTGTCTGAGTTGATGATGTGTGGTTGCTGTGGAGGGTCTGGTTTTGGTCTTGCTTTGTATTTTGTAGTATTTGGGTGGTGGTTTTGGTTTTTCTTTTTGTGTCTGTTTCGATTAGGGAGCAGTGGTGCGTCCCTCTCATGTTATGTTTCGGATTTGGGGATTTTCCCTTGTACATTGGCCTTTTTGGCCCGTTTTTATTGGAGGTTTTCATATCGTTGGAAAAAAATAAGGTATACAACAAATGTTTCCGTCTATTTTTGTTACTATATTTTGTAAATACTTTCTCTTTATATATACATATATGTAATGAAAATATAACAATTATATAAATGTAAGAGAAAAATAAATTATTTACTAGTAGTAACTAATAATTAAATATATGTAAGTAACTCAAAATAGCAGGGAATCTAGCCCGTTGGCTGCTGTGTATTCAGCCGTTGGCTGCTGTGTATTCGCACATTTGTGCATTTTGATTTATAAAATTATCTATCATTTCAAAAAAAAAAACTCATAATAAAATTTTGTTATTCCTTTTTATTAGACACTGAAAATAGAATAGAATAATACATTATAAGAAAAAAAATGTGGCAAACTTGGGGAAAAAGAGAATAACATAATTAAAATTGAACAATTAATATTTTTGTCAACACTCAACACATAA